CTTTTCATCAAGGAAGTAGTGTGGTGCTGATATCCGTTTCCATGTAATCAGTCAGAAGTGATTTATTTTAACGACAGAGTCGACAGCAGCTACGTGACAAGCATAGTGTGTTGTCTCATGTTTCACCCGAGTGCGCATTTATCAACCATTGAAAGAAGAAAGGAGAGTAAAACGACTGCAACTCGAACCCGGAACCTTTCGGTTCTGAGTTAAGCACACTACCGATTGAGCAATTTCGGTCACTAATAGCAAATAAAATTGTTAACTACAACCGGTACTGCAGAGAACTGAATGGCATGGAGCCGTAACCTGTTTAAATGGTTCTCAATGCATTTAGAAGCGAAAAATTTTGCAATAAAAGTAAAAAATTCGGCTTTCATTAGCGAACCGCACGTAATATTCTATATTACAACTATTTTGCAATGGTTATATGAAAATTCAAAATTTCAAGGTTAAGAACTTCAAGAGCACTTGAGGAACGTGACTGAAACCATCTTTCCAGCATCAACAGACCAGAGAATTAATACGGAAGCTGGAACCGCTTCAAGAGAATTTCATCACCTCCTCGATTAGTAAATGTTTTGATCCAATGTGGCTGCAAAAAATGTCGTTGTTTTAACATGCTCACTGTTTTACTAGCGTTGAACGGATGGCATTTATATCGCTGCATGTAGGACTTCTTTCACTGGAGCCTGAAGGCAGGTAATGTCAACGTTGATAAAGTCAATAATAGACTCGGTGCGAAAAATGACTTTTTCTTTTTTGGTGCATTCAAACCACAGATTATTAAAATGTTTCCAGCTAATATAACGTATCTTTGGAATTGAAAAGATACTAAAGGGCTTACGCAATCCATGAGACATGTGCGAGACCATCGATCTGGTACTAAAAATAAATATAACCATTGACGTCTGCCTGCAGACATCAAGATGTGCGAAAAAAATCCACATTTCAACTAAGAGTGTGCTGCCAAGAACTGAACGGGGCAGAAATATTTCAGTAGAACACAGCTACACAACAAACAGTAGAATTTCAATAAAACTGATTTAACTTTTTCTCTGCAGCATATTTCTTCTGTTAAATCCATAACTGTTCTTCTGTTACTTACATGACGTTAGAAGAACTGCTTAACCAAATTACTATCCTATAAACCATTGGTCATAAATCACTGAGAAACTCTCTCAAGGCATTCTCTCACCACGGAGTGAGATTTAAACAATGCAACTGAAATTGGTGGAGACGCCAACACAACATGGTGGTCGGTGATCCTCTCCTTACGGAAGACGTTCACAACCATGACTCGGTCAGCTAATGTAACAAGCGCTCCTTATTAAATGCCAGTAACTAACTCATTCACATTCCCTGTGCGATCAGCGGTATCCGTGAGGCACCGCAAGGAAGAGTAGAGCTGGACATCGCAAGCGATATCTCAACAGTTTATAACGCTAATCCCGACTACCATAAACAGACGTATGACATAGCCAAACATGTCTACGCCACAACCCCGCATCAATTACCGTGTTTCACGATCAAAAAGCTAGACTGTTTTGCCAAAATGAACATCTTATCGTGTGAGAAACACGAACAGACCGCAACTGGTTGTCTTTCAGTACTGCTCATAGCTAAAATTAAATTTCTAGTAATTTATATTCACCTAGTACTCTGAAAATATTTTCTACATTTACTTTACAGTCGTGCAATTATTAAATGCATAATACACATAGCCATGCAGTACCTGCCATGCAGTGGTCCGCCACCACGGCCGCCACCACCTCTGGGCATCAAACCGCCAAGTCCACCTCCACCCCCGCGGATTCCACCGCCATTCCTCATGTTTCCTCGAGGACCACCACCGCCGGGAAAGCGATTCATT